GTTTTACCACCCCACCTCGCGCCGTGTTCTGTCCTCCCAGGACGTCACCTTTGACGAGTCAGTGCCTTACTACCGTCTCTTCCCCTACCGCACTGCACCCCTCCCCCCCCCGCCGCTCTTCCTTGCGCCAGGTCCTCCCCCGGTAGACCCCCTCCCCCCTCAGGGTCCTGCCCCGTCAGGTGTGTCCCAGGTAGACGCAGTCGAGCCTGTCGAGGTAGCTGTTGACTCTGGTGCTGCTAGAGGTGCTGAGCCTGCGGGTGCCGGGTCTGGGGGTGCTGAGACTGGGGGTGCTGAGAGTGGGGGTGCTGAGTTTGGGGGTGCTGAGTCTGGGGGTGTTGGGCCTGGGGGTGCTGGGTCTGGGGGTGCGGAGCCTGGGGGTGCGGAGCCTGGGGGCGCTGGGTCTGCTCGTGTGGCCGCCGGCGGTGCTTCGTCGAGGCGGGAGCCGCTCTCTCCACAGGAGCTGCGCGAGTGGTTTGTTCGCCGCTGGGGACGTGCTGCTGGAGCTGGAGGTGCTCCTGTTGCTGCTGGTCCCGAAGGTGCTCGTACTGGCGGTCCTGGAGCTGCTGGGGCCACTGGAGTTGGTCCTGCTGGAGCTGCTGGCGGTGCTGGTGCTGCAGGAGCTGGAGCTGCTAGGGGTGTTGGCGCTAGTGTTTCTACTAGCACTGGTGCGTCTGGGGGTGCTGCTGAGGCTGCTAGAGCTGGAGCTGGAGCTATTGGGGGTGTTGGCGCTGGCAGTACTTGCTGGCGCTAGTGCTTCTGAGGGTGCTGGAGTTGGTGCTGTTGGAGCTGGAGGTGCTGCTGGCGCTGGTGCTGCCGCTGAGGGTACTTGTGCTGTCCTTGCTGGTTCTGGAGGCGCTGCGCGGCCGAGGCCATACTTCGTTTCGCTCCTTGAGCAGGTTCTTGGTCTCCCGCCCTCTACTGGTCCTGCTCCTCCCTTAGAGTGTCCACAACCTGTCCAGTCCCAGTCACAATTACAGCCCGCCTGACCTGCTCCTTCTCCCTACACTGGTCCTACTGGAGGTCTTGCTAAGCGTCGTGAGCCTGCGTCTCGTCCTGCGTCGCCTGTTCGTGCTGCTCGCACTAGTCGTCGTACTACGCGTCCGCGTCCTCCTGCGGTCCCCGGCACACACCAGATGGCGCTGCGTCCTTCTACTGCTCCTCTGCGTGTCCCGTTACCGTCTCCTCCAGAGTCCTCTCTTCCTACTCTTGCTGACCCAGAGTCTGACTCTCTTCGTGCTGCTAGTCCTTCTATCATGCGTCTTCTGGCTACTGTTATCACCGACCCTTCCTTTGAGTCCACTGCTGCGTCTGCCCTAGCTGCTAGCTGTCGTCTAGACTACGTTGCTAGTTTCGTTGCTGAGTCTGAGTCTGTCTGTCCTCCGTCCGTCGGGGGTGAGTGTGCTCTTAGCATGGACGTCCTTGAGGACAGGCAAGAGGAATTCCAGTGCTTTGCTGCTGCTTTGCCCCATCTCATGTCCACGCTGATTGCCCCTGAGGGAGACCCGGATGCACCAGACATCCTGACTCCTCGATCGTACGCTGAGGCGATCGAGGGTCCCTAGTCCTCTCAGTGGCAGTCGACCATGGACGCAGAGATGGCTTCCTGGAAGTCCACAGGCACCTACGTTGACGAGGTTCCCCCACCTGGGCGAACATCGTCAGTGGCATGTGGATCTTCAGGGTGAAGCGGGCGCCCGGTTCTCCGCCTGTATTCAAGGCGCGTTACGTGGCTCGAGGCTTCAGTCAGCGGCAGGGAGTTGACTACTTTCAGAAATTCTCTCCCACCCCGAAGATGACCACTCTTCAGGTGCTGCTGCACATAGCCGCTCAGCGCGACTACGAGCTCCACTCTCTTGACTTCAGCACAGCGTTCCTGCAGGGCAGCCTGCACGAGGAGATCTGGCTGCGCCGCCCACCTGGCTTCACTGGGTCATTTCCTCCTGGTACCCAGTGGAGCCTCCGCCAAACAGTGTACGGTCTCCGCCAGGCGCCCCTTGAGTGGCACGACACACTGAGGACTACACTTGCGGCTCTTGGGTTTGCTCCTTCTACTGTCGACCCGTCGCTGTTTCTGCGCACCGACACCTCTTTGCCGCCGTTCTACATCCTCGTGTACGTCGACGACTTGGTCTTTGCCACTGCTGACACTGCTGGACTCGCCCACATGAAGTCCCGAGCTGCAGAAGAGACACACGTGCACAGACCTGGGTGAACTGCGCAGCTACCTTGGCTTGCAGATCACCCGGGACAGAGCACAGCGCACCATTACCCTGACTCAGTCACACATGGTGCAGCAGGTCCTTCAGCGCTTCGGCTTCACGTACTCCTCGCCTCAGGCCACTCCTCTGTCTACTCGCCACTCGCTCTCAGCTCTGCCTTCGGATGAGTCCGTAGAGCCGAGTGGCCCGTACCCAGAGCTTCTTGGCTGCCTCATGTACCTGATGACCTGCACACGACCTAACCTTGCATACCATCTTAGCATCTTGGCACGCTATGTTGCTCCTGGGAGACACCGACCAGAGTACATGGCTGCAACGAAGAGGGTGTTGCGCTACGTGTGCAGTACGTCGGGCATGGGGCTAGTGCTTGGAGGGCGGCGTCGAGTGGTCCTCACAGGTCACGCATACGCTTCTTGGGCTGACGACCAGGCCCTGCAGCAGTCGTCACAGGGTTACACCTTCAGCCTTGGCTCCGGCTCTGTTTCGTGGCGGTCTACCCGCTCGTCTTCTGTTCTCAGCTCCAGCTGTGAGGCTGAGATCTACGCAGGGGCCATGGCTGCACAGGAGCTACGCTGGCTCACCTACCTGCTGACTGACCTAGGAGAGCCGCCTCGTTCTCCTCCAAATCTGTACGTAGACAACAAGGCCATGCTGGCCTTGTTGTCGGGAGCACAGACTGGAGCATAGAACGAAGCACATTGCACTCCGCTACTTCCTGGCTCGTGAGCTGCAGCAGCGTGGTCAGCTCCGCCTCACCTACGTGGCCTCTGAGGCCAACACTGCTGATATCTTCACCAAGGCCCTTCCGCCTTGTGATCATCAGCGCTTCTGTACTGTGCTAGGTCTTGTGCCTACTTGGCCTCACTTGCTCACTTCTTGACCTTGCTTGTACTGTCCTCTTTCTGTACCTCACTTGCTTGTTTACCTTTATATATATGATCCTGCATGTGAACTGGCCTTGTGGCCTTGCTCTTGTGCTCGGACTGTGTGGTGATGTTGTGATCCACCCTGAGCTTGCTTTGCTTCGCTTGACTGGTCTTGTGACCCCTTGTTCTCCCCACTCTGCCTATGGGGGTGTGTCAGGCATATATGCTATAGTCTGTGTAGGCTGTAGTGGGGCAATTCATATGGGGTACAGCACTTTAGGGTTTGCTGTCAAATTATAATGTTGTCTAGGCTTTAGTGGGGTAGCCCATATGGGGTACACATTTCTAGGGTTGCATATTTGTATCACTTTAATTCCGTAGTCATTTCATTCTCGTTCTAATTTCCTCATGGTATCGAGCAGGTTCCCCCGTGGGAACTGTGCCTAGGGCCCACCACATCGAGTTTTTTTTTTTCCTGCCCGAAGCGCACTCAGCTCGAGTTGCGCTCTGGGCTCTCACTTCGTCGAGCTGCCCTAGCGGCCCCAACGCCCTAGCGACCCCGCAGCCCGTCGATTCGGCCCCGCCGCCCTTCGCTGCGGCCCCGCCGCCCTTTGCTGCGGCTCCGCCGCCCTTCGCTGCGGCCCCCGCAGTCCTTCACTGCGGCCCCCGCCGCCCTTCACTGCGGCCCCGCCGCCCGTCTCAGCGGCCCCGCCGCCCTTTGCTGCGGCCCCGCCGCCTCTCTCGCTGCGGCCCCCGCTGCCCTTCTCAGCGGCCTCGCCGCCCTTCGCTGCGGCCCCGCCGCCCGTCTCAGCGGCCCCGCCGCCCTTCGCTGCGGCCCCCGCCGCCTCACATTGCAGCCCCGCCGCCCTTCCCTGCGGCCCCGCTGCCTCCCACACTGAGGCCCTGCCGCCCTTCTCAGCGGCCCCGCCGCCCTTCACGGCAGCCCTGCCGCCCTTCACCCCGGCCCCGCCGCCCCTCCCACTGCGGCCCCGCCACCTACCTTGCGGCCCCGCCGCCCTACCAGCGCCCTACACCACCCGCGCCGCCCAAGCCGCCCGAGCCGCCTGAGCCGCTGAGAAGCCGAGCCGCCCGAGCAGCCCGAGCCGCCCGAGCTGCCCGAGCTGCCCGAGCCGCCTGAGCCGCTGAGGAGCCGAGCCGCCCGAGCCGCCCGACCCGCCCGAGCCGCCCGAGCTGCCTGAGGAGCCGAGCCACTGGTGCCGCGGAGCCGCAGTTGCTGCTGAGCCGTCCGAGCAACCGTGTTGCCGTGTTGCTGTGCTACTGAGCTGCCCGAACCGCCCTGTCTGGTGAGAGCAGCGCTTCTGTCGCTGCACTGCCCCTGTCCTACAGTTAGTGCCGCTAGTCTACTGCTGTCATGGCTACCCCCAGTGTTCTCGCTTTTGACGCTGAGGGTCGGGCCATTGACTTGAGGTCTGGGTCGACGACCTGCAGCTGTTCTTACAGTGCGATAGGGCAGACGGTCTCTCTCTCTTTGACCTAACCTCTGGCGCCTCTCCTGCCCCTGCTGCTGATGCTGACCCCACTATTCGCTCCCAGTGAGCCACGCGCGATGCTGCTGCACGTCTTGCTGTGCGTCGCCACCTGCTACCCTCTGAGCGCGCGCACTTTAGTCAGTACAAGAGTGCTCAGACCTTGTATGACGCTGTAGTTGCGCGCTACTCTTCCCCTGCCACTGCTGCACTGAGCCGCCTCATGCTACCGTACCTCTTCCCTGACCTTGCTGCCTTTCCCACAGTTGCTGACCTCATTACGCACCTCCGCACTAGTGACACTCGCTACCGCGCCGCGCTTCCTGCTGAGTTCTGCGCCAAGAACCCCCCCCCCCATGTACATCACTCTCTATTATATAGTCACCCGCCTCCTTGACTCCCTTCGTGTAGTCAGGGACCACTTCCTCTCAGTCTGTCCCACCACTCTCACTGTTGACCTCTTAGAGAAGGCCCTCCTAGCAGCGGAGAAGAGCATAGTCGCTATAGGAGCCTCTCGTGGTGACCCTCGCACCCCCATCTTTGAGGGGTGTTCTCCTTCCCCCCTTTTGCCCTCTGTCGCCTCTGCCGCTGCGGCCGACCTCGTTGGTCTTGAGTCGGTTGGTGCGGCGTCTGTCCCTAGCGGGAGACGCCGCTCTGGCAAGGGCAAGGGGGGCAAGGGCGCGGGTGGAGCTAGCGGGGGAGGTGGAGGTGGCGGTGGAGGCGGCGGAGGGAGTGCGGGTGGCGGTGGGAGTGGTGGCGGGGGTGGAGGTGTTGGTGGCAGCAGTGGAGGCGGAAGCGGCGGAGGCGGCGGCGGTGCTAGCGGAGGCAGCGGTGGTGGCGGAGGTGGAGGAGGCGGTGGTGGAGGAGGTGGCGGTGGTCGGGGTGGCGCTTCGCTGCGGAGGCAGCCCTGGTGGTGGTAAGCGCCAGCAACAGCAGCAGCAGCGTTCTCGGGACATTCCTCCACCTCCGCAACTCTGTGAGTGGTACGCGCAGCGTCAGCGTGGTGGGGGTTTTGGTCCGTGCACCTACGTCCTTCGCTCCGGCGACCGCGCGGGTGAGCAGTGTGGGGGTGCCCACCCCACCCTGCGCTGCTTTGGCCGCCTGACGGACGCTTGGCGTCAGCAGTTCCTAGAGGCCAGTGAGATCCCCCGTTGGGGAGAGCTTTCTAGGGCAGGCGTAGCTATCTATGATCTTGACTTTGATGCTATCCTTGCTGCCATGTATGCTGTGACAATTAGTGATGAGGGTGACTGTTACCGGTGTTTCCCGCCTGACCCGGCATTGTACTGCTGCTCTAGGTGCTGGTGAGGCTGCTGCTCTAGGTGCCAGTGCGTCTGCGCCCTCAGGTGCTGGTGAGTCTGCGCTCTCAGGTACCATGTTCCCTAACAGTCCCACACCCCCTTCTCACACACCCCTTGCTGCACCCCTGTCTCCACTCCCACGACACCCCCTTAGCTCCACTCCCCTCGGCTCCCACACACCCACCCCCTTCAGCGGCAGCTGCAGCAGCGGGAGACGGAGGAGGAGGAGCAGGGACCGCGCACACCCGCCACCCCCATACCCGTCACCCCCATACCCTGAGTGTGCGGTAAGCGAGCATAGGTGTGCGCGAAGCGTGCACAAGCGTGCGGGAAGCGAACTCGGGTGTGTGGTAAGCAAACGCAGGTGTGCGGGGAGGGGGGGGGCGCAGGGCGACACGCGGGTCGACGGGGACGGGCACACGGGTCGCCGGGGCGGCGCGCGGGTCGACGGGGCCGCTGCGAAGAGCGACGAGGAGCCGCGCGCAAGCTGACACAGCCGCCGCGAAGGGCGACGGGGAGCTGCGCACAGGTCGACGGGGACGGGTGTGCGAGTTGACGAAACGCGAAACCGCCGCATGCGCCCAGGGTGCGCGGGTGGGCAGGAAACCGCCACGCGTCCCAAGCGCATGGCGGGCAAAATACCGCCGCACGCCCCGAGTGCACGGCGGGATGAAAAATGCCGCGCGCTCTCGAGTGCGCGCGGCAGGAAGAAAGGGTCGCACGCCCGGGGTGCGCGACAGCAGTAGAGCAGCGGATGCATCGGGTGGGGCCCACCACAGGGTGGGCTAGTCTTCACGTGGGCTAGTCTAGCAGTGTCAGCAGTGGCAAAGACCAAGTCGTTGACGTACACAAGTATGTAGAACGACGGCAGCAAAGTGTCGGTGGGTAGAAACAGCGACGGGTCAGCAGTCGAAGGAGCAATCCCAAGAGCCGCAAGTGTCGTCCTCAGTGTGTCGTGCCACTCGCGAGGCGCCTAGCCGAGACTGTAGATTGGCCACCGGAGGCTCTACTGGGTACCTTCAGGAAACGACCCAGTGAAGCCAGGTGGGCGGCACAGCCAAATCTCCTTGAGCAGGCTGCCATGTAGGAAAGCAATGCTGAACTCAAGAGAGTGAAGCTCGTAGTCATGCTGAGCGGCGACGTGCAGGGAGAATGTCTGGAAGAAGTCAACTCCCTCTCGCTGACTGAAGCCTCGTGCAACGTAACGCGCCTTGAAGACAGGCGGAGAACCCAGCGGCTGCTTCACCTGAAAATCCACATGCCACTGACGATGTTCGCCCTAGGTGGGGGAACCTCGTCGACGTAAGTGCCTGTGGACTTCCAGGATGCTCTCTGCGTCCATGGCTGTCTGCCACGAAAGAGGAGTAGGCACTCTCAATCGCATCTGCGTAAGAGCGCGGGTTCGGATGTCTGGTGCATCCGGGTCCCCCTCAGGTGAAACAGCATGGACACGAGAGGAGGT